TATCATATATTTATATGACAATAAAAAAGAATGCACAACCTATACCTGAATATTCATGTAGGTTTTTATCATGTACAAATTCAAGTCTTTTTAATTACCACCAAAAGCTGCAATTTAAAACAGAAAATCTGATACATGTATACACAAACAATGTATAAATAGGAATGGGAAACTCCAATGGCACTTTTAGTGATCAATTGCTCTATTCATAGCGTAAACTTTTTGTATGCGTTGGAAATTTTCTATGTTTTATTTCGTGATTATAAATAAAAAGATATGTTTCTTTGGAAAATAAATTTTTCAAGAATATTCAAAATCGTATTAAGAAATTCTTGGTTGTGATTTAGTTTGAATCTAATCAACCAGTACTGTGAATTTTGGCGATAATAGTAATGCCAGACTTAAAACACTATTACTTTTTAATACTGTTTTCGTATATGATGTTTTCTACGACAAAGACGTGCCAAAATGTTGTAAAGCTGAAAAATAAAAAGAAAAAAAGAAAGAGAGGGTAAGAAAGAGGGAGAGAGTGGTGTGAGAGAAAATATGATGGGAGAGGGAGACATAGGTTAGGGAAAAAATGAAAGGGAACCTTTTCTTTTTCTTTTTACCTGCCCTACATACCTATGCCTCCTTAACTCTCTACTCCTGGTTGGAGTCGGGACATTCTCCTAGTTTGAGTGGGTAAACGTCATTCTCTCATACTCCGTACTTGAGAGAGAGAGAGAGAGAGAAGAAAGAAAGAGTGGAAAGAAAGTTGAGGGAGAGAGATATAGTGTGTGTGGGAGGAGAGTGTATGTTTGAGAGAGAGAGAGTGTGTGGGGGGGGGAAAGAGTGTGTGGGGGAGGAAAGAGTGTGTGGGGAGAGAGAGAGAGAGAGTGTGTGTGTGTATGGGGGAGAGAAAGTGTTTGTGGGGGGGAGAGTGTGTGTGTGTGGGGAGAGAGAGTGTGGGTAGAGACAGAGTGTGTGTGGGGGGGGAGTGTGGGGGGGGGAGTGTGGGGAGAGAGAATGTTGGGGGGAGATTGCGGGGAGAGAGAGAGAATGGGAGAGAGAAAGAGTAAGTGACATTGAGAGAGGGGGATCAAGGAGGACAGTGAGGAGAGAGTGAGAGAAATTGGGGTAGAATGGAGAGAGTAGGAGGAGATAGAGTTGGGAGAGAGAGAGTGTGGCACCCCAGAGTGTGGCATCCAGTTTGGAGAGAGAGGAGAGAGAGAGAGACAGTAGGGAGGTCCGTTTAACACTTTACAATTGAAATTTCTAAAATAATTTTGGATTTTAGAATATTTTGAGTTTTAGAATATTACATGTAACGAATTAGTTCAAATATCTACATTTCAAAAAACTCTAACTGATTTGGTATATTGAAATTTTATATTTTAGTTCAAAAACCTAACTTTTTAAATTTCTAAAAATGTTTTAGAATTTCAATATTTTAGACTTTTACCTTAAATGTTCAAATTTCAAATTTCCAACAACGAATTTTTATTTTAAACGTTTGACTTTTTATTCTACCGTTTGTTTATGCTTAACAAACTAAAGTTCAGTTAGTAACATTTTTCGTCTTTTAATTATTTAAAATTTACTTCAAACTTTTAAATTTCAACTTTCAAAAGGTTTCGGATTTTAAAAATTTAGTATAATGATTCAAACATTCAAATTTCAAATAACCAAAACACAATGAGTTTCAGATTTTTAATTTAAATATCCAAAATATTAAATTTCCAATCCCGATCTGAATTTTGCATATAAGTTGAATATTCTAACTATCTAAAAGTTCTTTTGCTTAACCAAAGGAGTTTTTGAAATAGTTTCAAAATTCAAATCAGGTTTGGAATTTGATTTTTTGGATATTTGAAGTAAACTTCCAAAAACTCAAAATGTAAAAAGTGTTTTGGTTATTTAAAAGTCGAGTGTTTGAATCAAAATTATAAATTTCTAAAAATCTAAAACGTTTGCAAGTTGGAAGTTGAAAGTAAATTTTAAATAATCAAAAGACAAAAAATGTTACTAAATTTTAGAATGTTAAGCGTAAACTTCCTGAAGAAACGGTAGATTAAAAACTCAAAAGTTTAAAATACAAAATTTGTTTTTGGAAATTTGATTACCATGTAAGCAGAATTTTTAGCAAAGAAATAATTTTGGCGTTATTAACGAGGGTGCTGAGATCGCTAAAATTGAATATCGCTAGAAAATCATTGTGTTTTATTTGTAATAGCTTCTAAAGAGAGCATTTGAAAATCGTTAAAATTATACCTCGCTAGCTAAAAAGCCTCTCGCTAAAATTTCCACTTACTAGTATACGGTATTTAAGGTAAAAATCTAATATATCAAAATTATAAAACCTGTTTTGGAAATTTGACAAGTTAGATTTTTGAAATAAAATATTAAATTTCAATGTATCAAATCAGTTTGAGTTTTTGAAAGTCTTAAATTTGAATTAATATATTAATTGATATATTTATATTCTTAAACTCAAAATCATTTTAGAAATTTAAATTGTTAAGTGTTTCACGGATCCCCGTGGAGATGAGGTATACATGTATATAAAAATGGTAAAATTAATAAGTTTTTTACTGTTTAAGTAAAAAAAAAAAAGAAAACAAAACAAATTTGTACTAGTCAAAATCTGGAATATGGGTGGGATTGGGGTTGATCGAACCGGACACCCCCCCCCCAAAAAAAAAAAAAAAAAAAAAAAAAAAAAAAAAAAAAACAGATCATCACGCACCACTAGGCTACACACATACAATTAAGTTGAAGAGTAGCCTGGAACTTTGTGCTACATTTTAATGTCTATTTATACTGTTGTACACTTATTCAAAAACAAGTTTGGATTTTTTTTTACTTTTAATTATACAAGAATTTTCATCGATTAATATTTTCGTTCCCCACTGAATGTGGGTATATTGATTTCGGTCTGTCTGTCCGTCCGTTCGTCTGTCTGTCTGCCAAAAAGCCAAAGGCCAAGGTCATAATTAAAAAAAAATTCTGACTGTTTTCCCAGATAGCAGATCATCGTTGGCCCAATCTTACATTATGATTGTATTATCGCTGTTGGGTTACCTTTATTGGGCCAACGGTGGTCCAACATGGAATATTGATAATTGGTTATGTATAATGGAGCCAGTGTTGGGCTAACTGTTGGCGTTATTTCATAAAACTATTATCATGAGAGAAAATATCTGTTGGGGAATTGGCATCGGCCCCAAGTTGCTCAATATACCATGAATCTGGCTGAGCATCATGGGTAGACAATATCCGGGCTACATGTAATATCCGCGCCATTTTTATGAGACTGATACCTTACATATCTGCATCCACTTAATTTGTAAGTATTTATAATATGTTTGCTTCGACACAGCTTAATTAACGTTTATAGTTTAAACGATATCGTGTACAAATCTGTGTAAATCAGACACGGGGAAGTGCAGAGGTCAGGTGCTGTTGGGTCATCATTGTCCCAGATAGCATGCAAACATTGGGCCAACGTTGGGCCAATGTCATCGGTTACATTGGGCCAATGTTGCCAAATGACATTGGCCCAATGCAAGTTTGCCCATCGGCCCAATTTGGCCCTATATATTGGGCCAACGTTGGCCCAATGTAGAGTGTTATTTCTACAGATATTGGCCCAACCTTGCGGCAACATTGACCCAATGAATGCGACATTGGGCCAATGTTGGCCCAACGTTAACAAGAACATTGGGCCGATGTTGGCCCAGTGTCATTTTGCTCATTGGCCCAGTGTTGACCCGATATACATGCATTCGACCAACATTGGGCCAAGGTGTGCCAAGGACAGGGATGGGGGAGGAAGAAACTGACAGAGAAGAAAAGAATGGGGAGGAGAGTCGGGAGGGAGGAGAGGAGACTTAGGAGAGGGCTCAGATGGAAAGTGGTAGTGCCTAACTTTTTTCTGTTATATACTGTGACATACCTAAACTTACATATAGACAGACAGGAGAAAAAACAATATGCGCCTCCGATCTATCAATCCGGGCGCATAAAAACCAGTGACAATTGTGAACCAATGACAAGGAAAAAGTCTTTTCTAAGCGTTTATTTAACAGTAGTGAAATTATTAGAGAATACAAATGATGATCGTATAGTGGTTAAGAACGAGAGAGATGACACTAATCCTAAATAGGCTCGTGATCGTATAGTGTCTCACGATCCCTCCTAGAACGTTGCTCCAAAGAGCCCCGCTCTGAGAAGTGCGGCCCAGATGAGAGCGAGAGAATGAGCGCTTCGTAAAGTTAGACTGTCATTTTATAATGTACAGTACATGATACTTATTTACATATGAAACAAACAAATCCGATTCAAGTAAACAAGTTATACAGTAAATTTGGTCAAAATCCGAGAACTTTATAAAATAAATTATAATATAAACATAAGCTTCAGTTCAGTGTTTTGGTATTGTGCAAAAGTTAATATAATGTTTAAGTAAGTTTTTGCAATGTTCCGTTACTCTTCCTGTATTGATATCCGAAGATAGATAAACATCCTGGTTGATTACAGTGTCCTTAATCCGATTAATGGGTTTGTTTACTTTTACGGAAAGTTATTACACTTTCACATCCCAATTGGATTATATAGGTCAGTGCACTCATCATGAGTACATTTTAATAAGCTTATTTTATTTTCTTGATTAAAATAATTGTCTCAAACCCTATAGGTTTACACAATTGAAAAGTTTTAAAATTGTTCAATCTCATCTTATGTTTGAACTTATGTAAAATTCAACACATGGGATTGATAAAGTGATAAAGTACATTTGCGAGAAGTCAACGTCTTTCAGTACTCCCAGTACTTTGATTTTTTTATAAGTATTATTCATTAAAATTTCTTATCCAGTAAAAATTTGTTTGGATCGAGGTTCCGATAATGAATCCTTAAAAATCTTTGACTGACCGCTGTCAGTCAAGGAATCGTTGGGCCTAAAGGAGTCAATGAGTCGAAGGGTGATTGGAAACTTATTAAAAGTCGGGTTCGATCTTCGAAACCCTTTCATCGTAACAACGATCACGATGCACAACCCGACCTGACAAGTCGAACAACCAGAGACCACATGATGATGAGAATGAAATGAGGATTTGACATGTACGGAGACTCTGGTAATACTCTATTATTAGTCATAAAAGTATATCAGTACGTATGAATCTCTTAACTAAAAGATTTACTACTGTGTAACTGTAACAGCATTAATATTTTCAAAACAATATTCTTTCCGAATTTTCTCGTAGAACAGGAACTTTTTATTTACAGTGTTGATTAACCTTTGTTGTTTTGGGTTCGGTTATAATTTTGAAATTTTATTATGTTTTAGAAATTTTTAAAATATATTGAACTATTACAGGATGATGAAAAAAAATTATCAGTAACACGTGAACAGGTGAAGTAGGTAAGAAGAAATGCATAAAGAAATATATGTATAGACTTGGAAACGAACCCAGGAACCCTGAACTTCTAGTCAAGTGCTCTACCACTAACCCACATGTATCTAGGCAAATATTCTCAATCTATAAAGCCCTAACTGTAACCTTTTCAAACAAACATAAATTGCTGCAAATTAAGAACTTAAAAAAAATGTTGTTACACTCAATCTCCCCCATGGCAAGGAGATTTTCAAAAATTGGCATGTACATGTATGTATTTACAAACTGATCTCAGACACAAAGATTAGGAGCAGCTCTTCTGCACGAGTGCAACAGAGTTCTTTCATAAATGTCACGAGCTTTTTCTTCATTCAATGTTCTACAATATAAAAAAAACCCATTAAACATACATTGATAACATCCATATTTTCCACCATACAGGGGTGGGTAAGGGGGTATTCTGTTGCATGATTGGCAGTGATCAAGTTCTCAAATTACTATCATTTTATTATTAAACCCATACCTAGGTAACTTTTGACATGCCTGAGACCTGAGTGACTTTGTACATTCAATCAGAGAGAAAATGAACATCAACACTCGTACATGTGTTACATTAATAAATATACATGCTTCCCTTCTTACACAGTCTTTGACCTTAAAGACATCTCCCCCCACTATCCACCAAACGTAGAGAAAAGAAGGAATGGAGAGAGAAAATATATGACTGGACTGGGAATTGAACTTGGGACACTTAATAGTCAGGTGCTCTACCAATGACCTACCCAGGAAAATATCCATGGTCCTGATATCACTATAACTGCTACATGTGTAATTTTTAAAGGAATAGCAATAGAGCTTCAAGGAGGTAGTGAACATTGTAAACCGAAAGATTTGAATTCTGTGGGTCATGAAAAATATGTTTAAAATTTAGAATAGATTTGCTCGTTAGTGCCATCTCTCTCTCTCTCCAAACATATATGCATTCTGTACATCTAGATGGACATAATATTTTCATAAATTTTCAATTTTTGTCTAGGATGTGGGGTTTAAACTCCATTTTTTAGAAACCTGAAATAAACTTTAACAATTTAAAGTTAATGTAGAATGAAGGCTTGAACCATTTATTATTCAAAAATAATTTGAAATAACTCTTTCGTCCCATTTCCTACATATGCTTTAAAACTTGATTTAAAAAAAATATCAATCAATAAGATATTCAATTAAATAAATTTTAAATAGGTTACATGTATGATAATGCTAAAGATGACATTACCAACAACATAATTGTAGAAAATCAAACCTTCACTGAACTTTGAAAGTTGAAATTATGTCAGCTGGTCAGACACCCTTGGTGTCAGAGCAATTAAAGGATTACCCTAGATCACCTTCATGTATGTCCCAGTTCTTAAATTTGGAAGAAAATAAAGGTCATGCAAAATAAGTCTTTAATTTTATTATCACTACAGAGTCAAACCTAATTATTTCAAGCTTAAAGCCGCTGAATCAGAAGCAGGCACATATTATCTTATACAATAAAAGTATGTCATTACATAGAAAATATATGAAAATGAATTATAAGATTGATGAAATAGTTTATTACAACAGTCCTTACAAGGAAAATATAGATCAAAAACCTTATTAAAAAACCTTTCTGACAGGAAGTTACAATCTGTCGTGAAGTCACTTTTGAAAAAAATAAATTTATCAGTTATTTCTAATTACATGTTTGAAGAACAAACCCGGAATTTTTTTCCATTAGTAGAAGCGAAAGTCTTACTATATCTTTTAAAAATTAAGAAATTAATGGAATATAATCCACAGTATTTTTTCTATTAATATGCACATTTAAAAGAATAAAGGAAAATCAGATGTTTTAAAAAGATTTTTTATGAAGTAAGTTCAGTAACGAAGGCTAAAATATCGTCCGTGTGCTGTTGTGAAAATAAAATGCTCGGGTTTGTTCTTCATTGTGAGAGAAATAAGCGATAAATTTAATTTTTCGAAGGTGATTTCACAACATTGCAAAAAGCGATATCATAGTAGGATTATTTTTTGTGTGACCCAACAAAAATTATTTTTTTAACTTTTGAAATTTGGTATCATTTAAAAGAAAAAGACTTTGAGGATATAATTTGACAAAAGTTGAAATAATTTATGGACAATTATTTTTCATGAAGAAAACAAATATATTTTTTTTGCGATTAGAATTGGACTAAGCGGCTTTAAGCAGACCAATATTAATCTTCAAAATGTCCAAAGAAATGAATGAACATGATTAAATGTTGAAAAAAATATGAAGCAAAGTAGTTGGAACTCCAGGAACTGCCAGCTCACTTTGACATATTAACCCTGCAATTCAAAATTTCAGTTTTATCAAAGTTCAACTGTAAATATACTCCTTGACCTTGTTTATTCATAAGTCAGAGCTTCAAACAAACCACCACAAAATATATAAATATCAGAACTGTTACCTAATACATGAATATGAAATACACACACCAGATTTTTGTAAAGCTGCTTTGTAAAGTTGGGTGCCCTTCAGCACAGTAAACTTTATGGATTTTTCAATATCCTGTTCCAGTTTCTATGTTTTTCAACCTGCAGACATATAAGTCTTGCAATATTTTACATTGTTTAATTATCTGTGCGTCCCTATTAATACATGTAGTCATATACAAGTACATGTCAGGCAATCTTTACATAATTGTAGTCTTAACAAATATGAATTCTCGCATAGGATTCCTGTATGTACAGGTATGGTGTTGTTCGCCCCAACCCCCCATCCATCACACCTGTCGTGCACCTCCTGTAAACTGGCAAGTAGTCACAATGGTTTTTATTTCACTAAATGTTCATGATTCGTCATTTTTTCGTGAAATTAAACCCATCCTAAATGCTATCCTTGGTTTTTAAAAATGCATAATATACAATTATCACTTCAATAGATTGAGAAGGTAAAAACCTAGAATCGCTAAGTAAAGTTAATTTGTTTTACAGTTTGGAATTTAAAATTTGAAAATTTTTAATGTAATCAATTGTGATAGTCATGTTCATAAATGTGGTTTATATAAACCAACTTTGTGAGGTATATTGTCAATTTGTAAACCAATGATGTTGAAGGATTTGATGAGAATTCAGATTTTTTTTTCATATTCAACATTAAAAATGTGTGAGGGTTGATGGTTGCATGATATTCAGCTAGTGATAAAATCTTTAGTAAAGGGATATATTTGTATATAAAAAAAATAATCGTTATGACATCCAAATTCTGCTCAAGGAGGAAAACCATGAAATTTGATGTTAAGAACCCTCTCTACACTGCACACATAAAAGGTCTGATTCTATAGTTTTTTTTTTTTTTGCAGTTTTTTTTTTTTTTTTTTTGCAGTTAGAGTGATTTAAATAGATTTAAATTCTTAAAAAATAGAAATTTAAGGTATTAATTTCTCAATTTGTAATCAATTCAACTATTCTTAACATTTTGAAAGGCCAAGATAAATTAATTGAACATGTAATTAACATGTATTTTCTCTATGGTACTGTGTTGTATTTGAACATTTTTCCTTGGGGTAAATGCTATGTACCATACAATGAAAATTTTATAGATACGTTTAATATTAACATCTTTATACAATATAATTTTCTCAATGTCCAAAAAAAAAAAATTTTGCACTGGTGTAGAGAGGGTCCTTAAAAGTATATATGCTCTGCAAAACATTCCCTTCCATTCATTGATAATCCAGTTCACAAGTAATAAATTTATATGAAAACACAGTTATAATTGCAAAAAATAAAAGCAGTTAGTTATCCAATGGGAATCAGTTACTGTATTAATTCATGATCATTTCATGTGTCCAATCGCTATTTATACTTTAACGTGTAAAATGGAAATTCCTATGATACAAAAAAGTGTTACATACAACAATTAATAACCACGCAGAATGAGACATGCTGTAAGTTAAAGGATGACCATGTGACTGTATTCTATTTTTGTTATTTAATTTAATTATTTAGATGTCACTAAGCATGCTAACCAATTGAAGCAGTTATAATTATTATTTATCTCACAAATATGCTTTTCTCTTAGATAATTAATTTTATTTATTTATCTATATATAAGTATAAAAATATAGACATGTAACAAACAAACTTGTATGGAACCACAACTTTGGGGCTATAATTTCTCTTTTAGTTAGGTAGCATATTATTCCTGTCTGTCATGACCAAGTTATGTCTCTTGGTGGAATTTTTTTTTCTTATTACTTATTGCAACTTGGCTAGATAAAGAATGTCACATAGCTTTGCTAATCTATATTTTTATTTATATAGTTTTCATTAAAGTATTATTCTTTTATACAGACAGAAGGAATGCAATTACATCAGAGAGAGGAACTGGAATGTCTTTAAAATCAGGCTGAAGGAATGGAATCATGACTGGAACTTGACTTATTATTTAATAAAATCTATATCACAACACAAAAATGGTATCAGTGAAAGGCATAACCTCTAAAACCAAACAGCTGGAGAAACTGAAGTTCCTCTCAACAGTCATACTGATAGTGGCTCTAGGACTGGGACTGTACACCCAATGGCAAGTGACAGAAAACACAGCCATTTTGATTATCTCCCTTGTGGGCCTGTTAGTATTTGGCATTTCCTGTGCCCTACAGTTCTACTTTCACTATCCGTATATAGGACAGGTGTTGTTCCATATTTGGCTTGGATGCATTCTGGGAATTATAATTTTCTCAGAGGAGAAGGAGATCCAGTATATGATGCTACAGGAAGTAATGAATATTCTGTTTATTACCAGTTTGTGTGTTCACTGTTTCTGGACTGTGCTACAGCGGGTACTGAGGCTGCACAATCACACCCCATCGCTGTGTTCAAAAGAAGAGGTCCTGGAAGGGATAGGGTTTGCCATTTCTACCTTGATCACAGGGAACGATGCTATTGCTATCTCTCTTATGATGATAGCAGTTTCATGTAATTTAGTTGCCATAAGGCTGAAGTCCTATCTAGGTTTGTTGAACTTTATAGGACTTGTGTGTCTAGCTTGCTTTGTGTTTTATAATGATTTGAACATCTCTGTTAATGTATATGGCTTAGCCTGTTTTGTGGGTCGACATGCATTTGAGCCAATCATTGACTTGTATTTCTCAGGATTGTCGACCTTAGAGAGGTGGGAATCTTTCTTTAAACTGCCCAGATTCTGGAGGCATATAATTGTTTTATTTATGTTTTTACTCAACTTAGTAACAGGAGGGATTGTGGGACAGTTATCTGGTAATCATAAGGAGTGGTTCATTGTTGTGCCCTTGTTTATTTTATTTGCCATACTATGGCTCTGCTTTCATTTCTTGTCTTTCATCACTTGCTGGAAACTCATGAGTAAAATCTCGGACTGCAACCTCACATTCGCCAGTCTTCCAGATGAAAACAAAAACATGAACCAAATCATGGCTTCCAAAGGTGTTCGACATTTCAGCTTGATCTCTCAGCGATTGGTGTGCATCACCTTGGCAACAACTGTAATATTGATGGGCATAGGGTGGACAACCAGAACTGCCTATAGCCTCAGCCTCATTTCTATTTTGCTGCCCATTGAATGTGCAACCCTAAGTCTATTTTGGGAGCTAGGGGCCTTTCTAGGGGGAACTGTGACAGGGTATGCAATTATTGCTCCAAACACTGGACATAGGTAAGATATGAACATACTTACACTGTATATTGAAAGTACTTTTTGGACACTGTGAACTTTAATAGTGTTGAACTGTTTATTGTTTTCATCAGAAATTATTTTGATGCATTATAAAAGAAATAAGCGATAAATCATAGCAAACTATTGTGTATCTACGTGAAGTTGTATTGATCTCTGTGAATCAATTAACAGTACATCTCTGAATCGATTAAAAGTACACTAAGTACATATAGTACATGATCCCCCCTCCCCTCCCCCCTCCCCATTTTAAAGAATAAAATTTTAAGACTACCTTTAAGATAATTAAAGTTTTTGAATAAGACATTAAAGTGCACAAACTACTGAATTGATTTCTAATGAAACAATTTTAGTTTTTTTGCTGAAAATTTTATTGCATTTCTTACAGAATGAACACTGGTGCCACTTTACTTTCTGGTGCCTTGGTCCAGGATATTGGAAGTAGAGCTACAGCCTCCCTCAACAAAATGAACCAGTTTTTCTCCCATCACATGATTGACTGCTATGGCTGTGACTTCTCTACTAGTGGCATCTCTCTTGACAATCTAGAAAGCAAGGTCAAAGCATTCTTTGATCGCAGGACAAGTGATGGTCCTCAGTTTGATACCTATATTATATACTTTTCTGGAGATACATACGATACAGGAGACTGGGCTTTAACAGGTAAGGAGTCCAGATCGGAAAAGAATTTTTTATATTCATTGTTTTTCAGAAGAGCCCATTGATCCACATATTAAATACCTGCAATTTTTGCATCAAGGCAACACTTTAAAGGTTAATTGTTTTGGGGATATTAAATGTTAAATCTGACATCTGATAATGAATGATCCAGACATTATGACTGACATTTTTTAAGGTTCATTTCATATTAATATATATTTATCATATGTATTGCATGCAGCATTTGAATCATCTTCCTTCCTTATCTGTAAACTTAAGAATATCCATTGATTTGAAATCATTTAGCCTGTTTTGAGAAAACCATACATGAAAGCAATAAAAAATGAACAATTTATTGGTTCACTTCCCCAGAACCCAAAGGTGTCAACTAAACATATTTATACATGCAGTCCTTAAGTGTTCAAGCAGTCTTTACTCCATGCAGGCCAGGGCAGTTAACTGATCACAATGAACAGTTTGCCCTGTGCCAAACTGTCAAATTCACATCTATATACTGAAATTATGCCCTACATGTATTAAACATGTTAAAGGGGAAGGGAGATGGGGTCGGCTGAATTTTCATTAAATACAAAACAGGCTATGGGTATCCCATCTGATTTGAATTGCTGACACAATTAAAGCATCATATGTACATCAATTTTATAAGTATACTGTAAAACTCGGTTATAACGAAGTCACTGGAACCTTTGAAATAACTTGGCTATATCCGTAATTTGTTATATCCGTGTAAGAAATTTGCTGGGGATTACTTCCCTATATCCGTAAATTTTAATTAAGTCCTTAAACAGGGGAGTATATGCAATATCCATGTTCGTCATATGTACGTAATGACGTCATAAATATGACGTAAATTTCAGTTTTTTATGAATTTTGCAGAAAAATGTACATATTTCATCGATATTTTAAATAAAAGTCACCGAGCGCATGTGTGTTCAGGAGAAATATTTTGATATAATGTGTAGAATGATAAATCAATGAAATATGTCAGGCACACATAGAATATTATGTTTTGATTGGATTGCCTTGTACAAATTTAAGATATGTTAAATGTCAAGAATTCTTTTAACTGAAGAAAAAATGAAAAAGGGGCATAGCGGGTACATATTTTTTAGGAATTTTTGCACAGGCACCCATTTTTTTAATACAGGGAAACCCCTATTTTTATACATTTTTTACTATGCAAGAATAAGTAGGGGTGCTCAGTACACAAAACAAGTGTCTGTGGATCTATGAAAGGGCTTTAAATCAGTATTACAGAACACTCCACACGTTGGCTTAATGTTTTTATTATTGATATAATTATTATGTAAACCAAGAAAAAGGAATATACCTGGTACATAGGGAATTCAATATAAGTTTTATTAGATGTATTGATATCTTATTATGTAAGCCCAGAAAAAAAGAAAAGATATGAAGAATTATATATCCCCTAAGTTCCTTCAAACAATGTTTAAAAATTAATTCAGTGAAATTTGTATTATATTCTTTTCCTTAAAGCAATAGATATACCTGACTGTCCTGACACAGTAACCTTGATATTCTTCCCTTCTTTTCAGACATGCTTGGTTTTGTCCCCACAATTAATAAGATTTAATGCTAATGATTATTTGTTTTTCTTTAGAAAAAAAATATACATGTATAAAAGTTCCAATATTTATTGAATTCTGTGCCAACTTTCATCAAATTAAAATAGAATTATCAAGTAATAAATGAAGGATGCTTGAGATAAAAATTCCCTTTGTTTTTTTTTTTTTAAATATATTTGCAATTTCAAGCTACTTTATTATGTCTTTTAACCAAAAGGAATATTTCAATGACGATTAAAAATATCAATTTAGGATCAAGAATGATGATGGTGTTGAAAGTTTATCAAGAGTTGTCTCTCTTGTAATATAATTTTTCACACTTGAGGTAAACTTTTCTTCATTGTCCTTTATAAAGTTAACAATAAGTACGTGTATTCCTAGCTGCAGAACTGTAGATCCGAAAAAAAATATTTTGTCAGACCAGAGTACTACAGTCCCACCCAATGGAAAAAAAAAACCTTTATTTACTGCGCACAAAAAAGTGCGCTCGGTTCTGAATTAATTCTTTGAAATTCTTACCTCAGTTGCAAAAAAACTAGATTAAAAAAAATTCCTTACTCCTCTATCAAGTACTCTCGTAGTTGACATCTGCATGAAGCGTTTTGGGCCAAATTATCTTGCAAACCAAAATGGCAGTATAGACAGGCAAAATTCTCGATGGCCTAGATTTCAGAATCAGGAGGACTACAAACAATACTTTTAAAGCATGTTTTGTGGTGGAAACGATGAAAGAATAATTATGTAAGGAACATGCGGTCAGTAATATTTTGAGATGACAGTTTTAAAAACATGGAGAAATAAATCGAGAAACAGAACACTTTTTTGTGCACAATAAATATGCAGTTTTTTCAATGGGTGGCAGTATATGGGTGGCACTGTAGCTCTCCAGTCTGTCAATATATTTTTTTTCAGAGAGCTACAGTTCTGCAGCTAATGTATTCCCTTAAAAACATTTTTAATGCAAGTTTAAAAATTTAAGAATATCTTAAACTGGCTTATTGGTTTAATAAATTAGGGGATGAAGTATGGACCGGTAATCCCCATTGAAGCAATAATTCAAGGTGTCGTAACAAATTCAGGGAATTAAATAGATGAAGAATGAAAAATGGTTATTCTCAGAAGTCAAATTTTGAACCTAATGAACAGCCCTTATTTAAGGCATATTCCATAGTTTGTATTTACTTCAAATTATTTTGAATAAAATCAAAACTGTAGTTAGAAATCAGAGTATGACAGGGCATCAAGGACAATAGTGGGAAACATGAGAAAACATAATTTGCATAAGGGATGTTTTATACGAAGCCCATTTTGCACTTGAGCACATGCCTTATCCAACTAGATTTCAATGATGTAACAAAATTTTTATAATCTATCATTTTTAAGCCCCCAAATTTATGCCCTTGAATCATTACATTTTTCTTGACTTTATGATTTTTATTATTCTATAGAAAATTATACAAGTCTTTTTCAAAAGCACTCATGACATCATCGTTAGGATTTGGTAAAGTGAGTACAAGATGATTTAGTTTAGGAATTAGTAATGTTTTTATTACAGTCAGTCTTCCAAGAGGAGTAAGTTTGCGAGCTTAAAAACATTTTTAATGCAAGTTTAAACATTTTAAGAATATCTTAAATTGGCTTATTGGTTCAATAAATTAGGGGATGAAGTATGGACAGGTAATCCCCATTGAAGCAATAATTCAAGGTATCATAACAAATTCAGGGAATTAAATAGACGAAGAATGAAAAATGGTTATTCTCAGAAGTCAAATTTTGAGCCTAATGAACAGCCCTTATTTAAGGAATCACTGTCTACTTAGTATAGTATGCCAGGGCATCAACGATAGTGGGAAACATGAAATAATTTGTATAAGGGGCGAAGCCCGTTATGCATAAATTATCCATTTCCTTTTGAAATAAAATTGTATATTTCCATTTCCTTTTGAAATAAAATTGTAGAGTTAGACTTTAAAAATGTAAACATAGATTTAAATTACATGAGGACTCCCATGTCATTTTCAATAGTCCTTGCTGCACGAGATTTACATGCATATTTGGCCTCCTTAGCATCTGACACAGAGACAGATGCACAAGAGATTTGCATGCATATAAAGCCTCCTTAGCTCCTGACCTATCAACCTGCCTAATTTACATTCCAATAGAATTTTCAAGAAATCAACTCTGCTAACTTTCAAAGAGTTATCACAGAAAAAAAAAAATTAGAAATGGAAATATATTAAAATGAATACATTATAAGTGTATGATATTAATCTTTATATATTGTTTTCAGATGGCCGGTCTCTCAGCATTCAGACATTGCTTGACTGGTGGTCAAGTAAGAAGCGAGATTCTGGTTCCCGCCTCATCCTCATCATGGATACAGAAAACTCATATTTGTGGATGAGTTCTATAAGAAGGGTATATGATGATTATGTTGCCATTCAGACCTGCAGATACAACAAAACAAAGGATCCAGAATCGGATTTAGCCAAGGTTGGCCGTTTTACTGAAGACTTTGTAAGTTATAACTTAGGAGAGGAACTGGCTCAGAATTGGAGTGACAAGGATAGAAATGTGCGAGCCCTTTATCAAGTGTCCAGGTGTTGGACAGATTTCACATTCCATCTACCGACCACGGAGGAAATTAATAATCACTGGGATACAAGTTTTCCTAAACTCTTAAAGCCCCTGGTGAGGGCGGTGAACTTTGGTGGGATTGGAAATCCCTGCTTTTGTGTTGGGTGTGTACTGAGATGTCTGAAGAGGAAGAAAATGAAATGGCTGCCCCCTAAAGAATTGAATACTGGTCATAGTTTTAAACTTGTCAAATCATAGATGTTATAGGCAGTTTTAATTTTTTTTTTTTATGCTTGTCCTCTGAAGAATTGAATGGTCTTAGTTTTAAACTTGACCATTTAAAATATAGACAGTTCTTATTTATTTATTTTTTATGAAACGGTTTCCCCTGCAGAATTGAATATTGGTCACAGTTTAAAACTTATCCAATCATAAATGAAAGCAATTTAGATTTATTTAATATTTATTAATTTTTTTTATCATGCATTTTGAGAAAAAGATGTTTAGTCTTGCACATTTTCAACCAATGCATCATATTTCTGGACATCAATGTGATTGTAAACAGAGACTGCCATTCTTGGTTTTTATTAGGTCACCTGAGTTACTCAGGTGACCTATTGCTATCCGTTTTTATCCGTCGTCGTGTGTTGTGTGTTGTGTGTTGTGCGTCGTGTGTTAACATGTTTGTGAACTTACTTCTATGAATGACAATTTCAAAAATTTGGCATAAAGCATCTATGGGTAAGGGGAACAAAAATTGTGAATTTTATCCTTGCCCCCCTGACGCTTTATTGGTGGGACCAAAACCACTAATTTAATGCAATGTTAAAAAATCTTTTCTTTAAAAATATATGGACATCAAGCAGGCAAACTGTATTTCAATGAAATTGTAATCAGAAGGAAAAATTGTGAAATTTATGGCCCTGGGGTAGGGGTTCTGGTGTTAGGGTCCATAAAACACTACAAAATATAGTGAAAATGCATTATTTCTTTGAAAATCTTCCTCTCTGCTCCTGGGTATGTAACTTTCTAAGTACATAGTTATGATGAGTTTATAGTGCCTCTACCAAAATTGTGAATTTTATGGCCCCAGGGTCAGGGGTTCCTGATGTTAGGGTGGGGCTCTTATTATTCAGCAAAAATGCAAATTCTTTGAAGATCTTCACTCTGCTCCTAGGTATTAAATAAACTAAGTGCATAATGATAAGCAAGGGTGCCTTCGAAAATTGTGAAAATTATGGCCCCAGGGTCAGGGGTTAATGGTGTTAGAAATGGGGCTTTATTTGAATATATATTAAATTACATGAATTCTAATGGAAATCTTTTTCTTTGTCCTAGGTTTTAAATAAACAAACTAGGTGCATAGTGATGATGAGCAAGAGTGCCTCTACTAAAATTGTGAATTTTATGGCCCCAGGGTCAGGGGTTCTGGTGTTAGGGCGGGGCTCTGTTGATTATTTTCTAGTGAAAAAACATCTTTGTAAAAAATTTTTCTGCTGCTCCTAGGTATTAAATAAACTAAGTACATAGTTATGATGAGAGTTTTACACACACACAAATTTGTATGAATTTACTGGTGTTAGGGCCATTATCTTTGTATAGTGAAAATACATTAAATCTTTGAAAATTTTCTTCTCCTGGGTATTAAGCAGATGAACTACCTATATAGTTATGATGAGCAAGGTTCCTAATCTTCCATTATTGTGAATTTCAAGGCCCCAGGGTCAGGGGTAAAATAGAAAGGAGGGGGGCTTTTAATTATATACTGAAAATGAATGAATTGCTTGAAATCTGCTCCTTGGTATTAATCAAATATTTTTGAAAAGCAAAGGATTTTTCAAGAATTGTGCAATGTGTGGATCTAGGCCTAAGGGTAAGGGTTCATGTGTTGAAATGCATTTTTTGTTCCTCTACCCTGCCTATGGGTATTAAGTAACCAAACTTAAGAATTGCTAATTGTATAGTTATGATTAAGCAATGGTGCCTCTTTCAAAATTGTGAATGCCATAGCATTTAGCTTAACACATGAACCAATTCAATCACTGGAAAGCTGTTGCATGATGCTCAGGTGACCTATAAGGCCTTTGGGCCTCTTGTTTTTCTTTATGCTTATTTTTTATCGAAGCTGCACAGTTCATCGATTGCCTGTAGTTTATATGTTTGTGAACGTACCATATGAATGACACTTGAAAAATAAAAGTTTATGTACTGGATATTTTATGACTCCCGAATGACAGTTGATTGTGCTTGCAAATTCTTGCCGTTTAAAAATATATGACGTGAAGAAAACGAAAATGTATTTCAATGAAATGGATGAAGGAAATGGAGATAACGAACAGTATTCAATATCTAAGTCCATAAAACACTACAAACTATGAGCAGAGCAAACACGGACCTCTAAAACATCAGGTGCCATATTTACCATTACTAACTTTCTGTCGACGCAGGACCTCGGTTTATACATGTAGGTCTCATTCGAAGAACCGGTCTCTAACAGTTTGAGTAAAACCTGGTCATTCAGCAACAGAGCAAACGCATTAAGTACTGCACACACGGGTGACATCTCTATGATTGATGCTGAAAAATCTACAGATTATTCGAAATGACGGAGAAAAAATTCCATCTTAGAAAAATCATCTAAGAAATACTTTTAATTTAGATGTATCAATGAAAACTTTACATTTAATGGAAATCAAGATATTGCTTAATTAAACAAAAGTGTTAGAGACAAAGGTATATGGCCGAAGTTAGGGACCTTTCATTGATACTTCGGGCGCGGGAAAGAACGATAATTTATCAAAGATTTAATTGCAAAAGCTATATTGGTATTGGTTAAAATTTACACACACACACACACCCACACACCCACACACACACACACACACACACAATGTATGAATTGACGAGTTTACCTATTTCAAAAATAAACGGGTGTCTTCTTTAAGCCTTTTGAGTACCTTGTGGTCATATTTGATAGCTGAAAGGTTTCTCGAGATATCAGCTTCATTTATATAATTTTTAAATTTATGACCTTGACCTCTGGCCTTTTGACCTCAAAATTAAAAGGGATCTTCATTAGCCCATAGGGATTTTATAAAATTTCATGATTGCAAAAGCTCAAAGGATTTTCTATTCATTACCTCATAAAGAAATTAAAAGTCTTGTAAAACTATAGCTAGAGAGACAGACAGAGAGACCGAAATTAAAATTTCCCACTTTCAGCGGGGGACAGCACTCATAGAATATTTTGTACATAATGATTAGTCGCGGTGGACAGTGGTTGCTTTTGGTTCGGAGTAAGGATTTTTTTCTTACGTTGTGGGTTGAAAGATGTTTTTGGACATTGATTTTAAAAAGGATAAATTTGAATGTGAAGTCCCATGTCTGAATAAAATTTGGTGCGAAAATGATCCTTCACTGCTCAAAAGCCTTAAAGGGCCTGGGGGGTTGGAGCCTTTTTCAGACTATTTTGACCTTCTTTAGAAGGAGAGCTCCAAGATATACAAATTGATCAAATTTTAAAACTAAATTATGAAATTTTTCTTTGCGAAATGATAATTGAAAGCTTAAGATATATAAAAAATAAGTTATATCTGGTGGTTAATTTGTTGAGTTAGCCTCCTTAAGTGCCGAGCATAGATCAAAATTTGCAACTGTACATCGGAAAGTGATGGTGTCTCCATATGAGTGAAAAATTCTCGAGAGGAACTTTAAACAACAAACAAAAAAATGTAGCCATACATATCTTTGATTTACGTCGTTTGAAAGATGATGTTTGAAATTTGTACAATATTCATGAACATACCAAGGCTTGCAATAGCAAAATTATTTGCGATAGTATGTTTTTTTTAAAGGCGTAAAGTAGCCTTAGTTATCTCATCAAAGTTTACTCAGTGCATACATGTACATGTTTGTCTTTATAATGTATGAACTTGAATTGCTGGAATAATCACGTCGACATGTCGAAAACACCTCAATATCTTGGCAATTATATATTTGAAATATTAAACTCCGCAGACATTTCACATTTCGGAGTTGAACTTCAGAGTTCCATGATATTTGAGATGTATTGACAAGATTGGAAATTTGAAGCTTAGTCATTTACCATCTGTTATAGTCAACACATTTGATGATAGAAGATTAATTAAAAAAATATGTCTGGAAAAACATGAAATGGAATTCCTCGCTTGAAATTCATTTAAAATCCACCTCAGCTTCGCCCTGATGCACAATGTACGTGCATGTAAATTATGTAAAACAAAATACTAATAGTGTTCAAATCTTGTGTGGATCACACTTCATTCTATGATAAATGGACCAATTCAAGATACAAAACATGAAAAAAAAAAGTCTTACAAAACAAAATGAATATCGAAAATCTTGCGTATGTGTGCAAAAAAAAAACTACACATAAGTAAATCTACACACGTAAGTAAAATTTGCAGATGAGTAAATCCGTTCATACGACAAAAATTGCACACGTAAGTATATTTACTTATGTGTAAAATATACAGAGGTATGTAAATCATGTCGTATGAATGGGGTATTACAAAACAAAATGAATATCGTGATTCTCTGAAGGACGTATCAGTGAACTTGGGGAAAAACGTCCACAAATGAAGATCTGCACATTAATATATTTTGATGAGAGACGATTCTTTAGAAAAGGGTGTCTGTGAAAACATTAAATGGAATTCCTCGTTTGAAATTCATTTTCAATCCACCTCAGCTTCGCTCTGAAGCACAGTGTATGTAACTCATGTAAAACCTATTTTATCTTTTTTGAGAAGTTGTTCTCTTTTTAACTATGAGTGGTAGAGAGACAGACATAAAACAAAATTAATAGTCAAATACATATCAATAGTTTTCATATCTTGCTCAGAACCTACTGACTTTTGCGAAAAAATACTCATCTGTTAGTTATAGTTAAGGTACATTTGATCGAGTGTATCATGGATAATCAAGGGGGCGGTGACGAGTTTGCGAAGCAAACGAGTCTCCGCCCCCTTGATTATCCATGATTCACGAGATAAAATGTAATTTAACTGACTTGTATCAATAAACCAATCAGAAAGCTTGAAATATTAGGGCGAAAATTTTCCATGAAACAGCGTGGGAATTTATTCCGGAAAATAACCCGCGAAAATATCGGGGGTTTTCGTAATAGAGGCGCGAAAGTATTGGCAGCATTCGATAGATTTCGTTATCATTTCCTGCGCTGCAACCGGCATATTACTGTTCCTATAGACTTTCGGGACATTCCGTAGTCATTTCACGCTAATTCTTTGTGACATTCTACGCATTTAGTCATTTATGTAGATTAAGTTGAGGAGGATGGACGTATTAGGCCTAGACGATTTGCATTTGTCGACTATTAACCTGGGCGATTTAGGAGATTCAGACTTTTTAAACATGTGTGGAGTTACTGACGAAGATATCGAACTCTCGCAGGTATGTGATGAAATTGAAGAAGAAAATGCCATATCCGAGGGTCTATGTGAAGTGCTGAATTTAAATCGTGTCGAAAATATGTACAGTGAAATTGGTACCGAA